ATTTAAAACACAAAAGCACGATACACAAAACTCGGACAGGTAACAGTTGTGGTGAAAATGTTAATGTTGCCATTAAACATCCCAAAAATAAATAGACTAACCTTCATCTTAAATCCCTTCTCCTCAGTTTAGCAAAATCAACAATAGATTAAGTATTACACCAGTGTTTGACCTTCTTAACTGTGTTATCTTGTGCTCATCCTGTTATTCCAGGTCTTTTACCTCAAACCAGGATAGTGTTGTGCAAAAATCATGACCTGAAACCAAATTAAAAAAGTATAGCCTTTATTTTCAACCCTGCTGCCTCAAGATCACAACTTAATTGAAAAGTCTTAATATCTCTTTATACTAGGCTTAAATACACAGACAGACAGTATATGAGCAATACTATCTCAAGATAAAGATAAATTAATAATCCCTACAAAAAAACAGATAAGAAATAGTGACTTGTTTTTGAGGATAGAGTTGATTTTATAAGTATTACATTGTGATCTTGTGATAACAGGTTTTTAAAAAAAAACTTGGTAGCAACCACAGTCACATTTAACATCTGTAACAAATCCAAAGGTCATTTTTAAAATGGTCTCCACTGGCAAAACGTCTTTGCACCACATCACACCTTTGGAAGATGTTCAAAGAAATATTTCACGTGTCGTGTTTTTTTCTTCTTTTCATTTAGTTTCGATGCTGTTCAGTTCAGATCATGTTTGGAAAAAAGTCAATTGCAGTTATTTTGACTGATATTATAATTCTGATAATAGCTTAATTGAAGGGAGTAATAAGCCTTACATTATTATTGTCATTTTGATTTTAAAACATATATAAAAAAGATTATGGTGTGACCTGTTCCCAACAAAGACATATTCTTAAGTCTGTAAAATTCAATTATGTAAGAGCATCTCTGTTGCAATATTACAAAACAATTATGGTATTGCAGTAAACCATATTTCAATTTTGTGACAATTTTCATTTTCAGCTCTAGTAACACAGGGTGAGTAATTGATATTCAAATACCAATTTGAGGGTAAAGTATTCTGTTAAAGGTCCCATGTCATGGCCATTTTTTACTGATCACAATTCCATTGTTGAGGTATACTAAAATAGATATACATTGTGCAATTGTCCAAAATCACATTGGTTTCTCATACAGCATCTCTGTATAGTATGTGTATTCACTCTCTGTCCTAAACGACTTGTTGGAGCTCCTGCCTCCCCCTCCCTATGAGCCCAGTGGCCGTCTTTGAGACAGCGAGATACAGCTAAACCCAGCCTGAACACACACACACCCGCAGCCTGGCTGGGAGTTTGTGTGTGTGCTCACACACCGACTCACAGCCTCGCCGCGTCCCGCCGTCTCGGAGGAGAAATCGGCGGAGCTGCAGCTGAGAAAAGATTGAGTGTGTGTGTGTGTGAGGAAGTCAGCGGATTGGTCCTTTTGGACCAATCCACGGACTTAACGTAACGGCTCCGCGGACGTAACGTAACGGCTCCAGGGATTGGTCTATTTGGACCAATGGGTCCATTTGGGTATGGGCACGTCACTGTACCCAGGAAGAAAACACTGGAAAAAGAGAAATCTCCAACGAAGCGTTCTGGGGCAGCAGAGACAGGTATTTTCTGTGTTAGAGTTTTACTTGCTACAGGGTGTACTTTGAGGGTTTGTGACTTTGCAGACCGTTTACATGCAGAAAAACCTTTATAACACAAAAGGGGACGAGTAATAACCGGAAAAGCATGACATGGGACCTTTAAATTAGTCATTTCAGAGAGTTTTTCTCAAGACTGATGTCCTTCAAGCATGGCAAAAAAAGTCAAAGTGCAAATTAGCCTAGTGATGATTTTGCATTAGTTTTACCTAGGCCAGTTTAACATTCAAAAACAAGGGAGAAGCTGACACCCCAAGGCCCACAAAGTGATGGGTAATGAACATGTTTATAAGGTCCTTATCAAGCTTTTCCGCGCATTTTAGTTTCCCATCAGTGCTCCTGACTTCATTTGGGCTCGATCTTCAAGTGAGAACAGCCACATAAACCAAACTGTCAGCATCGGGATAGCATGGTTAATGCCTGATATCCTGCGACAAATCAAGACGTGGGAGCTTAGTGGGAGAGGTTTTAGTGTTTTCTCCAGAATATGTAGGTAATGAGCAGGAGGAGCCCTGCCGACAGGCCTGCGATCAAAAACTGGTGGATAGAGAGGACGTTTTCCAGCGTGTGGATCCTCTCCTCCATGGCACTGGTGTGGAAGTAGTCATAGATGCCAGCTCCGATGCTCCACAGCGCCCACACTGCGTCCAACACCAGCGGCATGTTGAAGCAGACAGGGAGGCTCAGCTGCAGCGATCAGGAGCGCTCTGTCAGAGGCTGCAACAAAAGACAAACCGAGATTTAGACTTGACAACAAGCAATGGTAGTTTTAAACGTCAATGCCAACATTTTGAAATGGAATTACCAATACTAAACCAAACCCACAATGAGGAAAATGCATAAAATCCATTCAAACCTTCTCCAATCAAGCAAATCTAGCTATTACTTTTTATTTCTTTATCCCCCAGTAACTTATCGCCTTCTAAACCTAAAAAATAAGCTGTATTATCTATTTATATAATGCCTTTCATGCAAAGTTGCAATACAAGGTGCTTACAATACAATACAATACAATTACAACAATATATTAACATAGCACATTTAAATAGGCTAGATAAAAGATTAAAATATTTTATTAAAATGGCTAGGTAAAAATATCCATCCCAAGATTTCATTTAAAAGGTATTTCTCCTTTAATTTGTTTGTAAAAAACGTTATTGTTACCTATATGTCCTTGTTTTAAAATCATCGTTATAACTACCACGTTGCTTTTTTATTTGTTCCTGAATGTCTGAATGTAGAGAGGCAAACAACTTAAACATTAGAATTAAACCGTAAATTCCACACTTTCATTTTTTGCCAGATTTTCTTTGTGGGCAAATCCACACTGTCAGTGACATTGGACAAGTATACACTTTTAGTAATATGGCAACATTTAATTAAGTCATGCTTAACGAAAGTAATATTTCAAAGGTGACAACAGTGTACTCTTCTTAAGAGACATTGAATTAGGCAATTTCCCCCTTCTTTACATAGCAGAGGACTGGGAGATATTGTTAACGTTCACAATGTTCAGTTTTGAAAAGTATTATGCTAAGGAATAAAATACATAAAAAACACATGTAAAATAATTATATTTATGTAAAATCCAACCACCTGTTGTTATTGATTGGAATTACTCATCTCAGCAGCCAAAATGCAGTCAAACGATAGCATAATACCAGTAGGCCCATAAACTTAACGTCAATATCAAGTGTACACTTTATATAGTGATATATTTGATGTGCCGAATTGAATAATGTGTAACCATAATGTGTAAGAAGTCTTGATTTATACTTTCAATAACACATGAGCTCGTCTATCATCACGGGTTTATTAAATTCGACATTTTGTAAATACAATTTGGCATGCGTAAAACGACTTCCTGGAATGCTGTTAAATATGTAAAACTAAAATACAGTAACACCAACAATGTAACTGCACACTATTGCAACACATGTACTAGTTGAATATGCATGTGAATGCGATATATTTGACAGGAATTACCCCAGTAACGTTATTGAACTCATCCTCTGCTAGCAAGCTAACCCTTTAGCCAAGATAAGTTCTTACCAAACTAGCACTGATTTTATTACGTCATGTTACTCACAGCATGAGCTACTTGTAAATGTGGATGTATCGAACAATCGTCGCACAGGCACATGCATCAACATGGGGCTTTCACATCATCGTAAGACATCTGTTGTTACATGTTCCATGGAAATATTGAAATCCTATCCTTAGGTACTTCCGGGTGTGTTCTCGATCACGTTTCCCCCTTCTCTTATGTATGGCGAGTAAGGCACGCCAAACTTCACTACGACTTAATTTGCATGTCTTTGCTAACCGTCCAAATGTTCTTAATAAAACATTATGACCAATTCTTTTTCAAGGGCCATCTGCTGGGACATTCGGCTAAATACAAGGAATCTGTCAAGGTGTGGTAATGTTTCAATGGGCTCACATGTCATTAGCTCTCCACAAGGTGTAGGCTACGATGCGAAGCCAACCTTTTCCAAACGTTTACTGAATGGAACCTTTTGGTATATTGTGTTTAGCCTATTTTCATAACACATTGGAAATTCTATTTTGAAAGATTAGGATTTTTTCTTGTTAATATTTAAAGCGCGATTAGCCCGTTTGCCGTTGAGAATATCAAAGTATCTTGAACGAATGTATAAAATGGAGGTTGGTACGCTTCATGCTTCATCTCCAATATATATGTGTGTTTAAATCCTCATAATGTGGCCCGTTCACACTGCCAGGCGCGGTGGCCAAGTGGTAAGGCGTCGGTCTCGTAAACCGAAGATCGCGGGTTCGATCCCCGTCCGTGCCTGACCCGTGTTAAACGTGTTAAACCAGCTCTACTTCTTTTTCGCATACATCTTTAACTGAAGATACCGAGGCATATAATTGTAGATATTAAATAGATTGATGTCAACTAACTGCAACTTCTGCAACTAACTGCAACTTCAATCAATAATGCAAAGGTCACATAATTGTACAAACACATGTATATGATTAATTGTACAAGTTATTAATAAATAAGCCCAACAAGTATTTTGGATTGTGACTGAATGCAATTTCTACATACAAATTCTCTCCCCTTGTGAAAGATATCTTCAAAGTACACAAGAAGGCGCTAAAACAACACTTATAGGTCTAAATATGATTTTTTTACAAGGCACTGGAACGCTCACCTTGCTGATCTGATAACTGCAGATTCAAACATCACACCTTCATGACTAAAATCCGGACTAAAATGACAGTTAAATGAGACATCCTAATAAAAAGGGTCGTTTCCTCACTTACAATGAAGATTTCTAACTTTTGGCAAAATGCAAGTGCACAAGTCATAACAAATTTAACATAAGCCTTTTTTTTGGACATTTTAATGCAGAATGTTACAAATTATACCTTTCATTTACGGTAAAACAATTTGTGTACATCTTTATCACATCAGTGCACAGACCTGCTTTTTAATCAACAAATATATCATACAGTTAATGTGGGTGTGCAAAGTTACATTGCATTAGTTAATATTATGACATTTAAAAAAGATTCCAGCATGTTGTGTGTGAGCATTTTAGCTAATCACTCACTCACTATTAACAACCTCCGCCCCTCCTTTAACTTTAAGCTCAACGGATTCCCAGTCAAAGACATTTCCTCTTGGTACTCTCTTCCCTGAATTCATGTCTTGGATGGTGCTGTCTGAGAGGACAGAGTCCCACATATTAACATCACTGATCGACCCAACAAAACTCTGTTTGGCGTCAAAACTCCCCAGGTAGTTATCCGGATCTTGCCCGATGATAACCTTGCCTTCGGAGCGGATCCTGTGACCCCTCCTGTAAATTTTGGTCACGCTTTTCCTCCCATCCATGAAGATGGCAGCCGCTCCTGAACTGGAATCCCAGGTGACACAAATGTGGGTCTCAGTGGGCCCAAGCTTAGGGGCCTTGAACATAACGCCATCTCCACTCAGGTAGAAGGAGTATCTAAACACACAGATATACAATTAATCAGAGTTCCTGCTGAAATACATGCATACCAAGTTACTGCGTGGCATTTTGGTTTTGATAAAACAGTGTAGTTCCACTATATAAACGTTACATTCATAATCAAACGAGACAATCTGCAAGAGAATTAGCTATTTTTTGTTATTCTTAATGCTTGTCATTCACACGTTGATTAAATAAAATAAGTAGGCTGCCGATACATAGCAGAACAATTGTGGCAATGTTCAGCTTAATAAGCCTTGTTCAACATAATTTCTTTAGGTAATACTACAGCGGGCTGCAGGCGAACCAAGTCCGCGTTTCGCTGCATTCCTTGATCTCCAGTTATAACGCTGAACTCCGCCGCCGGGATGCCGGCGGCCACCACTTGGTTAATTGGGTCCCCTTTTAACATTTGCTCCCGTTTAGCATTATGGGCGTCATAGCCATAGACTATAAAAGTCTTACCCAAGGCTGAATCATACACTAAACTGTATATATATATATATATATATATAGGCTATATCAAGTACAGTAACTACAACTAGCTAACGTTGTAGCCTAGCAGAGTGGACAAGTTGCTGTTAGCTGACAGTGAGGCACGTACCTGTCCATCAAAGTGACCACGCCCTAATTTATGCAAACACTTTAAGACCTAATATAAATAAAAGGGTCGCGTTATAAAACAATTCACTCACCAATTCATAATCATGAAGGTGGAATCTAACTATATCCCGAATAATTTGTATTGCTTCCAGGGGCAGAAACACGTTTATTTCTGCTATAAAGTTGGGCATTTTAACATGGGGGTCTATGGAAATTGATCCTTTCTGCAGTCATCGCCTATCGACCAATAGATGAACTGCAGTTTGTGGCACTTCCTTATTGGCCTCCCGGCTCTGCCCCAGAGTTTGACGCTTGGTTCACACCAAAAGGATCTGGAACTAGAACTTTTTGTTGCGAAATTTTTCTCCCCTTTTTAGTCCCTGCTAGAGAGCAGGTACTTTCCTGGGAGAAAAAGGTTCCCATTTCTGATTGGCTGGGCGAATTGCAAACCACGCCCCGTAAAACTCGGAAAGGTTTTGTGAAGCCGTCATTGTATTTGCTGGCATTAGCATTATTAGCATTAGCATTAGCCCAGCGCACCAACGGAGAGAGACTAATTTATGGCAACACAAAAAAAAACATGGGAGTGGTGGAGTGATGAGGAGGTGTCGGCGTTCTGGCGATTTACTCGGAAGGCTTCAGTAGAAGCTGCTGGGACTCCCAGCAGCTTCTACTCCGGGGACTTCCGGCCGGGGACTTCGGGTGGCAGTATACACCGTGAAGTTGTTTGCGGCCTGCCAGTAAACCCAAAGCAGAAGAAGAAGAAGTGACGTCAGCGGCTTCATTTCATGTATAATAAGAACTGGATACAGCGTCGGAGGCGGGGTCTCGTTCTTTCCTATGAGAGCTGCTCATTGGCGCATGAGGACAAATGGCCCAACTTTTGAGAGAGCGAAACGTCACAGATTACCCATCATGCCTAGCTGTCAGAGCAGAAGAACCCGTATGTGCGCTCACAGAGCATGCGCCCCTTAAGCCCCGCCCCCCGAGCTCCCACTCTCGGCTCAGTAGAATGAATGGAGACAGAAAATAAATCTAGATTCAGCTTTTAGTGCATTTTACATCTTTAAGAACCTAATGATTCTAATAAGGGCTATAAAATAGTTCATACTGGGTAGTTTAATTAGTTGAAAAAAAATTATCCGCTGATTTACAGACGTCTCTTTCCCAATGTTAGTCTATGGGAAAAAGTATGTCTGGGCCCAGTGACGTCACGGACTGATACGGAAATTGTAGTACCGCCGTTTGGACACAACGAATATTTTCATCAGAGTCCGGCGCACTTCCTGGGGGCTTGCTTCATTTGCCTAATCCTCCCTCAGGGACTCATTCAGGTGTGAACGCGATCTGCTCTTTACTTCCGGGAACTAAAGAGTTCCGATGAACTAAGTACTGGGAACTAAGGCCCAATCCCAAACCACGCCCTACACGCTACCCCTACACACTACCCCTCCGTGACGGAGTGAACTCCATGGAGTGACACTCGCAGCTCAACGAGGCTCCCTCCTGTCAGATGGAGGGAGTAACGGCCTGTCCACACGGCGGCGTTCGTTGTCGCTTGCCGGCGGGGGGGGCTGAAACTCGACCAACAACCAATCACATGAATCTCCCGCCCCGGACACACAAGCACGCGGTTTGATTGGCTAGAGCTTGTACTGGCATATGATTTGATTGGCTGACGCTTCCGCCGAAGCTTCAAAAGTTGAACATTGCTCAACTTTCGTCGCGAGCAACGCGAGCAAATCTATGCTTCGCTCCCACAATGCAGTTCGGCGAAACGTGACGTCACCCCATTCAAAGTGAATGGGCAGAAGCGTTGAAGCTTCAACGCACGCCGCCGTGTTGACGGGCCGTACATACAGCGGCAAGCTTTGGGACGAAGTCCCCTCTCTCCGGCAGAAACAGGAAATGCCGTAACTGTATGTAACAACGGTTTCAAATCAGCATCTCTTAAACAATTTTTTTTAATGAATAACTAAAATAACATCTTTAATTGTGTTACTTTTTTGTAAAGCTCTTTTAGTTTTAAACCTGATGTTTATAAGCTTCTTAGTTTTTGCAACAGTCTGTAAATATTTACGGCATTTCCTGTTTCTGCCGGAGAGAGGGGAGTTTGTCCCAAAGCTTGCCGCTGTATTTACTCTCTCCATCTGACAGGAGGGAGCCTCGTTGAGCTGCGAGTGTCACTCCACGGAGTTCACTCCGTCACGGAGGGGGAGTGTGTAGGGGTAGGGTGTAGGGCGTGGTTTGGGATTGGGCCTAAGTCTCTCTCCGTTGGTGCGCTGGGCTAATGCTAATAATGCTAATGCAAGCAAATAAAATGGCGGCTTCACAAAAACCTTTCAGAGTTTTACGGGGCGTGGTTTGCAATTCGCCCAGCCAATCAGAAATTGGAACCTTTTTCTCCCCAGGAAAGTCCCTGCTCTCTAGCAGGGACTAAAAAGGGGTGAAAAGGTTCGCAAAAAAAGTTCTAGTTCCAGATCTTTTTGGTGTGAATGCAAAATCCCAGGAACTATCGGAACTACTCCAGGGAAAAGTACTCCGGTGTGAAAGCGCCTATTGTCCCTGTTTCCGTTGTGTTTTCATCTTTATTGCAGGGTTTTGTATTTGCAGCTTTTAGTTTATGCATATTTTAGTAAACGCTGCGCATGTATTGTGAAGTTGGTCATTTGTGTTTTTATATTTGCATCGTTTCTGAAGCTGCAGTGCGTTTCTCCTAATGGAAATGTTTTGAGCGAGTTTGCATCTATCGGCCACCCTAGTTTGGGACTTAAGACTCAAATTTTAGGACTTGAGTGCAAAACCTTGTGACTTTCAAAACAAGGACTTCTGGTAATGTTAGTGATAGAAGAAGAATTGTTACAAGAATCAGTTTGAATATGAGGGATATTTTGGCATGCAAATGGTGAAATGTAAAACAAGAATCTAAAACAATGATCACTGAATATGTTCTTATGTTAGAGTCAATATAAGCATGTTGTGTGTACCTGCCGTCCAGCTCTTGCCACACATTCAGCTCGTCAAAGTCTTGAGTCCGGTATGCAAACAGGATGATCTCACGCTCCATATTGGGCAGCTCTGTGGCCACTCGCATGCACAGGGTGAACGCCGCGAGGTTCAGGGGCTTCTGGGGGACCATCTCCACATAACTGCTGTCCGACTCATCAGGGAACACCAAGGTCTTTAAAAACACACTCCCTGAGGGACAGTTACTTAAAAAGACGTTTTGGATGATATCAAATAATTTAAAATCAGGTTATCACTTACAAGGAATTTGATTTGGTGTAAAATGGTGCATGGAAAAACACAGTAGGAGAAATTTAAATGGAAAAATAAGAGCTAATTTGAAAAAAAAGATATACAAATAATATCCAAATTACCACGAAAAAATATTTACAGTTTATCTTAATATAATATAGAATAGCTGTGCAGTTTATACAGAATCCAGGTTTTTTGGCAAGTAAGTTTTCATAAACAAAGAATAAAAATGGAAAATAAGTATATTTAAAAAAGAATTAAAGGAAAAAATAAATATACAAAAAATATGACAAATACTGTAATGTACAGTTTATTTGAAATATAAGGGTAAGAGCTGTAAGGCTATGAATAGGAATCAAAATAGATAATGGTAAATTGGCTGAAATTGAATAAAAATAAGTCTTAACTAAGTGAACTTTAAGCTATTTAATATATACTTTTATACATGCACAGATATGAACAAAAAGACAGGAGGACAGGGTATATAATTACCTGCCAACCCAGCAGAGCTGGCAACGAGGAACAGGACAACTGAAAGTCTCATTTTGTCTGAGCAAACCTGCAAACATTTTGACAATGTACTCTTCTACTCATCCATACAACATTCAATCTTAAATCACAGTGTTTTCATGCATAAAAAAAGGTTATATAAAGATGTAAAAATATAAGGAAGGTGTGTACTTACTGTGTAGCTTTCTCAGGTGCAGCTGCAGAAAATCTGACAATTGGGGCCTTTATGTAGTGACTCCCTGAACCCTCCGCCTTGTTATGTATTGAATTTGAGCCTGAGATTAAAAAAATGTTGGGCAAGATTATATTGTATGAGTGAGGACAAACGGATCAATAGGCAAATAGTCCAGGTATTGCAAAATGGGGCGTCACGGGAGAAACATGCAACTGGCTGGCCTTAAAGGGCCCATGTCATGGCCATTTCCACTGATCATAATTACATTGTTGAGGTATACTAAAATAGATTTATACTGTGCAATTTTCCAAACTCACATTGGTTTCGCATACAGCATCTCTGTCAAGCATGTGTATTCAGCAGTATTCACTTTCTCCACTAAACGACTCGTTGGAGCTCTTGCCCCCCCCCTCCCTGTGAGCCTAGTGTGCTCCGATTGGTCAGCTCGGCCACTCGTTCTGATTAGTCAACCACCAGAGAGGCTGCGCCCATGTCAGTGCTTTTCCCGGCTGCTCTCAGCGTAACATCAGTCTTATCATGGCGTCGGTACAGCGGTATATTTTATATACATATATATTTTTAACTGTTGTTATAGAAGAGTGTGACGGCCCCAGGGCCTTTGTCTTACGATGGGGTGGAGCTGAAGAGGGTAATCAGCGTGATCACGGACACCTCCGGACACTACGGCCCCAGTCTCTCTCCAAAGTGGCTGCAGGAAGACTAACTCTGCGATCCTCTCAACCACCTATCTTTGCATTTACCACAATAAATGTGCCGTGGTTTTGTAAACTCGTGTATGTCTCCTTGTCTTTCCGTTGTGGCCTACGAGCTACTCTCATAACAAAGAGTAAGTTATTTTTACCCGTTATAAACTACTACTGTTTGATGAGAAATCAAATCATGGTTTGCTATATATGAATTCAGGGTAGAAAGGATAGGCCTACTAAGTATTTCCATTAAACTTTATTTTTAGAAATGTACAAAATGAACATAAATATACATATATACACGGTATATCATCCATTCCTCCTCCTCTTGCCTGCGCACAGCCGGTGCGGTGCCGTGCCTTTTAGCACGAGGCCTCAGTAGTAGTAGAATCCCTTCCCCGTCATGGATTGTCCGCCAGGATCTGGCTGGACGAAATCAAATGCACATCACAAAATATTAGAGAAACTTAGTTGTTTTAGATTCGTTAGTAGTAGTTGTGTAATGAACAGCTTGCCTGCTAATATGCTAACCTAGCTTTGTTTACCTTGGTAGCTAACACGATATGAACGTTAGCTTGGAGGAAAGGCAACTATAATGCAGTGTAATAAAACTACTATGAACAAAAGCTAGTGGTTCATATTAGGCTAGCAATAACGTGTTTATAATTGCAATCGTATACGGGTATTCTGCTACCATACAATGTAACTTGCATGAATACATTGTTTTGCGCTAGCATACAGCTAGCCTCGTTAGCTACATGCAGTATATGTACGGTCACAATGTACGGTAAACCGGAGTATACTGTATGAGTATTCCGTGTGTGTGACTGCAGACATTCTCCTGCCATGACAAACATGTAAGGCCATCTGCTGACATTGTAGTTGATATATTTAAACGCTAGCAACGTAGCATCACAAAAATGTTTTTCTGACCAAAACTAGCTCAAGCTCCGTGTGTTAGATCGCTACGCCAGCTATAATGTAATTACGTTTCGCGACTGACCGGCAAATCACCCGCAGTATACTGTCAATAGGTATTTTGTGTGTGAATGCAGACATTCTCCTGCTATGAGATACATGTATGCAAGGCCATCTGCTGATATTAGAGTTGATATATGGAAACTCTAGCAACTTAGTTAGCACAGTTAGCACTGTGTCAATGGCTTAGCAGTCCAACACAGTTTACACATTTAAACAGTCTTGTTTGATAAATACACAAATAACAATGCAAACTTACAGGTTGTATACCCAGATCTTCCCCTGCTCCAAACGGTCCAAACAAGCTGTGCATATCCGGCCTCAAACTGGGCAATGTTTTGGAAGCTTTCGTCTGTGAAATGCCGGTTCTTCGAACCTCTGGAGGAGGAACACGCCGCTGCTGGTGTGGCCATAGCTCTTCGGGATTGGTCCATTTCGTTCCGGGTACCGCATGACATCAGGCGGTACCCGGAACTAAATGGAAGACTCAAATGGGCAGTGACGTATCTCCAACGAGGCGTTTTGGGGAGGTATTTTCTGTGTTAGAGTTTTACTCGCTACAGGGTGTACTTTGAGGGTTTTGACTCTGCACACCGTTTACATGCATAAAAACCTTCATAACACACAAGGGGACGGGTAATAACCGGAAAAGCATGACATGGGAGCTTTAAGGACTACAATGAGAAGCTAAACGACTACAAAAAGATGCAGAAACAAAAACAGATGATAACAAAGAGTCACAAAATTCCCCAAAACAAACACACAAAATGGCCACAAAACCACTAACACAAAAATAAGATGACAACAAAGAGATGCAAAACCACCAACAAAAGACACAAAAGGACTACAGATAATCAAAACTATACAACAAAACCTCAATATTGACTAAAGAGCAGCTTCAGTGATAGAAGGAATGAGAAATTAGTCTAAAACATGAAATTCAGGGTTCGATGAGGACGTTTTATCAGGTGCTCTTTCAACTGTTATCTAATGGCGCATTTCCATTGCAGCGCGTAGCTCGCTTTAAGCGTGCCGTGTCGTGCCGTCCCCTTTTTTGGTTGTGCTTCCACTAGGCCTCGTTCCGGCGCGGCACGGCGCGGGGCCACTTTTTCCCCTCTTTTCTGGCCCTAGAAAATTGTGGTTCTATCGGGGCCAACAAACAGGGCTGAGTATGCTAAACTAGAGAGAGGAGCGCTGGCAAGAGGGCTAGAACTACAACAAGATGGACATATTTGACCGTGATTTAATTGTAATACACGTTTCAAAATGATGCCGAAGTAACAACATACTGATACCGGTTAGTAAAAACCATGAATTAATGCTTTGTCAAGTCTGCAGACAGACGGCAGGCGAAAAACCTTTTAAAATTCGTGTTTTTCTAGATGGAGATTGGCTAAGCTAACGCAGTATATGCCCCGACCGTCCACACTCACAACAACGGCCTATACAGACATAAATACAGCAGCGACTGTATTCACCATGACACAGGCAGTCTGTGGTGTGTACTTGTTTAACTTTTGTCGAGTTTCTGAACATATATAAGGAGCTGTGAGCTCTGAGTGCTCACAGCTAACGGCTGTGTTGTGTTTCTGGATTTCTCATTGAAGATGACGTCACGGCTCCGCCTACACTGCGTTACTATAGTAACTACCCCAGTTCCTAAACTGTAATGGAAGCGCAGCATGAAGTGAGTCGGCCCTGTTAAGGCCCAACGCGGCCAAGCCGTACCGAGCCGTACCGAGTGTGGCCGAGGCCGACCGTGTAGTGGAAATGCGCCATTAGGACACTGACCCAGAGTTAATGTCATGTTGACATATCTGATCACAACTTGGTTCACCTCCTGCCTATGTATCAACCTCTGGTCAACAGACAGTAGTGATGGGAATTATGGCTCTTTGAAGGGAGCCGGATCTTATGGCTCCGTTCCTTTGCGTGAGCCTTTCAAAAGAGCCGTTCAAAAGAGACGTTTTTTTTAAGGGGGCGGGGTTACTAGGTTTATCTGCGAAATATACCTTTTATAATTCAATCAAATGTAGCCCTGTTTTGACTAATGATTTATATGTGTACACATATATCACTTAAATTATTCAATACATCCTTTGTACTGAAGTATTCAAATGTAAAAATTACATTTTTAATATAAATGATTTGCTGTGGCCAATTGTTTTCATTGCAACTCTCTGATTGTAGAACCACGCTAAAAAAAGCAGATAGCAACACCTATAGAAACTGACAACAAATCTTTGCTGAGCCTAAAAATAATCATAAATAAATAATATAATGAAAATAAACGTATTGCAATGCTCAAAACAGCAGCATCCAACAGTCTCTAATCCTTGGATATTACATGTCTGCATGCATGCATGCACGGAGCACCCTAGCACGGAGATCATCATATCATTCTGTCTTGTATTACTTAACAAAACAAATAATAATCAAATAAATGGCTCGTTCGCGGGCACGAGCCGGCTCCCGTCGTTCATTCAGGGTTCGATGAGGACGTTTTATCAGGTGCTCTTTCAACTGTTATCTAAGGACACTGACCCAGAGTTAATGTCATGTTGACAGATCTGATCACAACTTGGTTCACCTCCTGCCTATGTATCAACCTCTGGTCAACAGACAGTAGTGATGGGAATTATGGCTCTTTGAAGGGAGCCGGATCTTATGCTGCGTTCACACCGGACGCGATGCGATGTTTGGGGGCGGCGCGATTACATGTAAAGTCAATGCAGAGACGCGGACAGACGCGAATTCGCTCCGACGGTGCGCATGAAGCGGTGGACGCAGCGCAAATCACGCGATTGAGGCGATTGAACGGTGCCGCGTTAAACGCGAGAGTTCAATTTTTTCAACTCGAGCGTCAAATTCACGTGGCGCGTTCTCGCGGAAGCCAATCAGCGGTGAGGATCTCAGCCTGCCGTCACTGACGTTCAACCACACAACATCAGCCGTTAGCTGTTAGCAGTTAGCACACAGAGCTCACAGCTCCTCATATCTGTTCAGAAACTGGACAAAAGTTAAACAAGTACAAACCAGACTGTCTGTGCCATGGCGAATACAGTCGCTAGTTTATTTATGTCTGTAGGCCGTTGTTATGAGTGTGGAATGAGCATATACAACAAGCTTAGCCTGGTCGACCCGATCTTCATTCAGAAAACAAGCATTTTAAAAGATTTTTCGCCTGCCGTCTTATCTGCAGACTTGTCAAGCATTAATTCATGGTTTTTAGTGCTGTGGCATTGATTCACCATGACGTGCAAGATTAATTAAATATGTTGTATTCATATTAACACGCTAATAAAAAACAAAAACAAAGCAATTTACCGGAGACATATTGACAGGCGCTCCGCAGCTGAGAGGGAACGCCTGTAGTTTGTGTCCATCCGGGAAATCCTGACACCAACCCGAGCTAAAAGATCATCAAACT